AAAACTACCACATTAATGTATCAAACAACTACATACCATGTGTGTGCCACATAGAGCGACTGCAAGTAGCATTACTCTTTTAAAAATGGTTAATGATAGTAAATATTTTAATTTCGGGATTACTTACTGAACTTTAAATAACTTAACCTATGTTTGGTGGAAATTAAAATCCATATTTTAATTTGGATCAAAGTCAATAATTAATTTTAATTATTGATTTCATGAGATTCACAATTTTTCAATCACATTTTATCAATTTTTATCAAAATCTACTAAAAAACTAATTTTCATACCCTCTAAAAAAAGGTTTAGTATTATAAATAATGAAATATATATTTTATATTTTAAAATATAACTAGTATTTGTTTTTTGAAAAAAAAAAATTATAATCAAATTTAAAACTTATGATTTTGCATAATTGTCCCTAACTATTATCAATTACTTTTACAAAGTACTAGTTGTTTTCCTGTGCTATGCAAGGGATTAGATTTTTTTTTTATTGGAAGATAATGTTAGTTTTTTAATTCTGTTGAACTTTCATGAATTACATCTACAAATAATTTTTTGATATGTCTACGTTGGGATGGATTTTTCCTCATTGAGAATGCATGAACTTCGTAATTCGAAATGCATGAACTTCTTTTTCTAGAATGGAAGGCCCATGTGATGCTGATGGTTATATAGCTACAAATGGAGAACATCAACTTATAACTAAATTAAAATCTGAACAACAAATACGTTTATATTGTGCACAGCTTAGGAAGTTTTATTAATAAAAAGTTCGTAAAAGTTTTATGTGTAAGCTTAAAAAAATTTAAATAAGCAACTTCTTTAACTTAGAACTAAGAAAAAAATAACATATCTAAGCATTTTTGACAGAACTGAACAAAAACAAATTAAACATATCGATAGTCATTCACATTTGTACCATAATTACAAAAAAAATATGGGAAGATTTCCTCAAGAACCAGAACTATTGCCATCACAGTGCAAACATTGCCATCAATGTTTAGTCTATGATGCCTAAACTTGCTCTAGTAATTATTGCACGCACTCTTAGCAGAATGTACCAAATTACCATTTGCAGTCATCCCAAAATGAAATGACCGTTTCACTTCCTGTTAAAGCAAAAGGAATCTAAATGTAAACCAGAAAATTTGTCAAAGATCATAATGAAAGTGCAAGGTAGGAAATGACTCCTATACTGGACTCCAGGTGCATCTTTTACAATTTTATCTGTTTCTTACAACCAAAGCAACCCGACTGAGTGACCCAAATAAACCAACATCCCTTTCAAGCCCTAGCCCAACACACCACCACTATTTTTCCCTTCCTGCAAAACACGTCGTCGAAACTTTTGAACATGTATATGAACAAATCACGTTGCATGTGAAAGAATTATAAATGTACACGTAGTAATAGAAAATCAACCTGAATGATAAATCTATTCTACTAAATAGGTTGCAAGACATTTCTTGATTCTAACATTAACTTATGGTGTGCTGGCATTATTTAAGAATATCATTGATGCTTATAGTTGACTTTTCTGCTGTGGTTGCTGAATGAAGTCAAGGTGTGAAAGACTTTATTAGGTTCTAAGTTTGGTTCGTCAAAGATAAGAAAACTTTAAATATGAACAAGGTTTCCACGACGTAGTGGATGTTTACTCACCTAAAAGTATGCCCTAGCGTCGTGCGGCACAAAGCTTGTACGATGTAGTGGATGAATAAGGGTTCTCCTCCCACTGACATGGAGACTCTTCTACCTAGCCAAGTTAAAAAATGCAAAATTAAACTGCAATCGAAAAAATAAGATAACATGGAAGAAAAGAAAGATTAATTCTTCAAGTAGTTACATTAGGACAGATAATGAGTTATGGCATCTTTTTGCACAAATATGGAGCATTTTGCAACAGGTGTAAAGTGGAGGGCAAAATAATAATTTTTAGAATTTGGAAGGCACATTGACCACATAAATAAATGGCACAAAAACTTCTGTCATGACATCTATAAAGTAAAGATACATAATCACATATTTGGGTTACCAAAATAACAATAGGGACCAAAAATACAGCAATGAAGGGTGAAGGCTTTCTGATGAGGTGGGCATAGATGTGGAGGAGCATGGTTGCAATCAGGGTCTTCCCAGAACCAGTATCCAAGAATACAATGGTGTTTCCCTTTAGTGCCTTTTCTAGTGGTTCCAGTTCATAACTGCATTGACACATGTAACACATCACCAAGAGCATATCACGCCAAACAAACACGTATGAACAGTTACCTTTTTCATAGGACGACAAGCACTATACAACAAAGTCCACTGTGTAGCTGGACTACCTAGTCGTACTTTCTTCTTTGGTTGTTTGTCCTCTCCTAATTTAATTGGCAACCTTTTGGCCAGCCTGCTCGTATATCAGATGACAAGTTCAACGTATAAAGGTTTTTGGATATGGGACACACTTATAAAATAAATATACCGATGAGTATATTGTGTATATAAACTTTAGAGCTCCATAAATTCTTATTAGTCTTAATGATGCGCATGGTTCGATAAGACTCTCAAATAATGATATTAACTTAGAATAATTTGGTCCCTTGTCAAAGTTCATATTTGTAATCCACGAGAAATCATTTGAATGGAGCAGGGCAAAAGCAGCACATCAACTCTAGAGAAGTAGACATTTTCTTTTTAGAAACTTAAAAAAAAAAAAAAAAATCTTGTTGTCACCCTATCATCATCCAAAACCAAATGAAGAAATCGTAATATATATATATATATATGAGCTAAGACAAATTCCCGACAACATATACAAGTAATGGTATCAAATCACCTGATAACCTTGCCACGGTAACCTTTTCTTAATGAGAAATATCAGTGTGTATGCCAGTAACTCAAGATCGTCCCTCCTATTCCCAATACGACTCAAATGTGCATGCACACTTGCATACTTTATTGTGCCCCTGTAGATAGATTTTTGGTGCATGTCTAGTCAGGTTCAAATAGTAAACAAAATTAATTCCACTAACACATTAGAATAGTAGTAACCACCATTAACCCAAAGGGAAATAGAAAAAAAAAAAAAAGAAACAAACAAGGGAAAGAGAAGATATCAGTTGCATAGACACTTAAAAATATAGGCAAAGAATTGGAATTTTACCACACTGTTTCAACATGCCTGCTGGTCAACAGTCTTACTTGCGGCTGTAAGAGAGTAAAAAACACCAGTAACATCATATTCAAACAAAGATCAACAAGATTGAGCTTTTTCTCATCAGCAGTTCCAAGTTAACCAAGTAGAAAACTACTTTACTGTTCCCAGAAATGTCTTTCAACATCAAAACAACCTAAAAGCCCATAAATTCCTTCCTTTCCTAGGGAAACCATCCATAACCCCTTAGCGAACTTATTAACCATATAATCCAAATCAATTCTAACCACAAAATTCTTTATAGGAGGCTTTATGAGAAATTTCCTGAAGCATTCCTAGATAAATTGTTTGTCTTGTGTGTGTATGAGTCAAAAGGCTGTTTACTTGACATCTGCATCAGCACTACATATCAATTTTCATTAAAACATTCTTTAATTTAACTAAAAATGCTTCTATGAGGTGTTTCAAGGGACCAAAGTTATGTGTTCTTTGTCCATATACGCAAGTCATCAATTTATGGCCATGCACTAATTGTTAACAATAAACCCAATTTGGTGCCCCAAGATTTTTGTGCCTCTATGTCAAGCTGTAAAAGATACCAAGGAAGGCAATAGCCAATTTGAGACACTCAATAGTTGAAAATTATATTAGAACCTACCCCTACAAGCGTAATTATATTTTATGATGTTCTAATTAGAACCTATAAACACCAAATTGACTACATATGGAACTCGTCATACATGATATCAGAAAGTTTTTGGTATTAATAATATCCAATTAAGAGAGAAAGTGACAGGCAATAGTAACAAAATAAAAAGGAAGATCCCTGAGAGGAATCCCCTCATAATATCATAAAGAATACTCGTGCTACCATACACATGTCAAATAGAAGTAGAAATTCCAAAAGGATGGTATAAACCTGGGAACACAAGATATGGAATCCCACTGCCAATGCTAGTTACTTTCAAATCTTACCTAACTATCCATTCCTATGTATTAGTGAAATCTTTCTAGAACTGTTCTAAGTTTCTTGTTGTATAATTACCACATCATATAAATGTCAATTTACATAACAAAATAAGGTACACACACCATGACATGTTAACTCATTATAGAACACATCCTTCTCATCCAAAGAAAGAAACCCAATTCAAAAATATTGATTAGAATCAGCATCACAGGTAAAGTTGCAAGATAAACATCCAGAATCAAGAAAATAAAATAAGATTGAAGATTGAAATGCTAAAATGATGAACGGAAGCCAGAACAATTTCGATTATGCTACTTGCAAATTAATTGATTCATTGTGAATGAAATTACAGCCATATATACACTTACAAAACAGGTGCAAAAGGGAATAATTACAAAGAATCAAATATGGTTACAAAATAACAAACTCCATGTGATGAAGTCTTCTAGATCCTTTCTTCTTCTAGATCATTCCTTACGTCCTAGACCTTTGATACTTTATCTGGCTGCTTGTTTAGCCGACTGTGATGCCACCTCATTTTCCATCTGATCATGTGCCTTGTGATCAACTCGCTTGTCATAATTCAACACCTCCCTGCAAGATGAAGAGTGAATATCAATCACTCCCATCTTGATCATATGCGAGTAAAGGCATGAGGAATTCAATACCTTTGTCAACATGTCAGCTAGCTGGGATCCAGTGTGAATATACTCAGTGGTTATGCTTCCATTCTAAATTTTATCTCTCACCACGTGACAGTCTATTTCTATATGCTTCGCCCTTTCGTGAAAAACACGATTTGTGGCAATGTATATGGCTGACTTGTTGTCGCAATACAGTTTTGTTGGCTAATTAAGTTCAATCTGCAGATCTTTTAAAAGATATTTCATCCATGTTACTTCACAAAATGCTTGCGCCATTGCCCTATACTTTGTATCTGAAGAGGACCTTGAGACCACACTTTGCTTTTTGACTTCCTTAATACAAGTGATGAACCAATGAACACACAATAACCTGCCACAGATCTCCAAGTCTCTAGACAGGCAGCCCAATCTAAATCTGAATATGCCTTTAGCTGCATTTCAGAAGTAGCAGGATAGAGTAATCCCTGTCCTGGTGCCCTCTTGATGTACTTCAAGACCTTGTGTGCTGCATGGATGTGTGGAACTCTAGGCTTGTCCATGTATTGGCTCAACAATTACACTGAGTATGAAAGGTTTGGTCTCGTCATAGTTAAGTATAACAATCGTCCTATCAATCTTCAGTAAATAGAAGGGTCAGGAAGTGGATCACCATGTTCTTTACTCAATTTGATATTCTGATCAAGGGGTATTTTTGAAGGAGCTGATCCTATAGTGCCTGAGTCTCCCAAGATGTCAAAAGCATACTTTCTCTGACATATGTGAATTTTCTGCTTTGTCCTTGCCACTTCTATTCTAAGAAAGTACTTCAATTTCCCCAGATCCTTGATTTTAAACCTTGCATCAAGTGCAGCCTTAAGTTCATTAATGATATCCATACGGTTCCCTGCTAGGATGACATCATCAATGTATACCAGGATTGTTGTAAAAGAATTACCTGTGACTTTAGTGAATAAGCTATAATCTACCTTGGATTGGATAAAACCACGTTGAGTGATGAAGGCAGATAACTTGGCATACCACTGCCTTGAAGCTTGCTTCAGGCCATATAGAATCTTATTTCAATTTGCAAACCTTTGATCTCTAGCTAGTTCCATATCCATGATGTAATTACATATACACATTCTCACTTACATCATCGTGTAAAAATATATTGTTGACGTCTAATTGGTATAAGAACCACCCTTTTATAGCTGCAACAGCTATTAAACTCCGAATGGTCACCATCTTAGAAAAAGTCTCATGATAATCCAATCTCTGTTGCTGCGTATAACCCTTTGCAACTAACCTAGGTTTGCACCTTTCGATGCTCCCATCAGCTTTAAACTTGATTTTATGTACCCATTTGCATCCTATTGCTTCCTTATCAGGTGGTAGATCAACAATCGTCCATGTGTCATTTGACTCAAGAGCTTTAATTTCTGCCTCCATAGCTTCATACCATTCGGGATGTTTGATGGCTTCTTGGAAATGTTTTGGTTCGACTTGAGATGTTATGGAACTGATAAAAGCTTTATGAGAAGTGGTTAGCCTTTTATAAGAGATATTATTAGTAAGAGGGTAAGGACTACCTGAAGTTATAGTTCCTTCTGTCTTGGTCATGTCCTGCAATGGGGTGAATGAAGTCACTTGTTGGCATATGAAATCCTGCAAATATTGGGGGTTCTTTTAATTCTGGTGGATTTTCTTGACAAAGGAGAATTCACAGATTCAACATCTGTAGTTTGTAGGTCAGTTTGTTCTATGATTTGCTTAGTTTGGTTTTGAGTTGTGTCATAGTTCTCATTGTAACCTTCACAACTAGGAGTTGAGATAGGCTGATTATTTGGCTCTCCAGGTTCTAGGAATGTATGATTATTTGGACTAGGATTTGGTTAATTTTGATAAGAGTAAGAATCGGTAGGATACTTATTGATCTCTGCAGCTTTGGCTTCTTTGAAAGGAAAGGTAAGTCTCATGGAAGACAACATTTTTAGATACAAAGATTCTATCAGTCTGTAAATCAATGAGTTTATACCCTTTAATCCTAAAAGGGTATCCAAGGAAGACACACCTTCTGGCCCTAGGGTCGAATTTGTTCCTGCTTTGAGTAAGTGTAGTGGCAAAGGCAAGACAGCCAAATACCTTAAGGTGAGAGTATGCTGGTTCCTTTTGAAATATAATCTCAAATGGGCTTTTATGATTCAAAACAGATGAAGGCGTTCTATTGATAAGATGAACTGCAGTCATGACACATTCAGTCCAATACTTTAATGGTAATCCACTTTGAAATCTCAGGGCTCTTGCAATGTTTAATATGTGTTTATTTTTCCTCTCAACTATTGCATTTTGTTGAGGGGTTTCAACACATGATCTTTGATGTATGATTCCCTTTTCGAAATAAAATTCTTTCATGTTAAACTCTCATCCATTATCAGATCGAATAACCTTTATTTTGGTTTTGAATTGAGTTTCTATCATGAAGTAAACGGCATATAGGGAAATTGATACCTCAGATTTAAGTTTTAGCATATATGCCCAAGTACATCTACTGAAATCATTAACTATTGTGAGAAAATAACGAGTTCCATCATAACGTATTTCATTGCAAAGCCCCCAAAGATCAACGTATATTAAATTAAAAGATGCCTCTTATTTGTGTTGACTTACATAAAAGGAGAGTTTATGCAATTTGGCTAAAGGACAGACATAGCATGGCTTTGACCTATCTAGTTTGGGAATGTTTTTGAGAAAAACGGAAGATGATGGATGCCCTAATCGGTAGTGCCAGACATCAAAAGGTTCTGAAGAGCTAGTAATAGTTGCTGCAATACATGGAGCCTGTAACTGGTTTAAACGTTGTTGAAGTGTTGTAGAAGGAACTGATGTCTTCACTAAATGGTAAAGGTCTGACTTCAATTCACCCATTCCAGTCGTGGTCCAAGTCAAAAGGTCAAGTATATAGCAATGATTAGAAAGGAGAACAACACATCAGTGTGATTCCAAGGTTAACTTTCTAGCAAATATTAAATTCAAATCGAAAGAAGGGACACACAATACATCATGAAGAGTTAAAGTGTTTGTGATCTGTGTTGTCCCAATTTATGTAACAGGGACAGTGTTCCCATTTGGCAAAGAAACAAAACAATTAGTGTGTGACTTAATGGAGGTAAAGTGAGATCGTGAATAGATCATATGATCTGTTGCACCAGTATCTAGAATCCAAGGAGTTTTGTCAAAAAAAT